AATGTCCACGAAAGGTAAACATTCTTGATCTATCAGGACCTCGAGGCGGCCAGGACAGTCATGAGAGGGGACTTCCAAAACTGCTTCCAAAAGCCACAAGGGCAATGGGAGGAGTGTGTTTAGAGTGAGGATGAGGATTTTGAGGAGAGTAATAGCAATGTGTCCTTATTTTAAAAGTTTAAACACTCACCCCACACTTGGATCATACCTCATGTACTACTGAATGTATCCCTCAAGGGCCAGCCAGAGCCTTGGTGCATAGGTAAGGCTCTGTGCCACCAAGGAGAGGGTGTCATCATGGAAGAAGCATCCCCTTCCTTGGTGGTTGTCACTGCATCTGAATCTAAAGACTGATGTGAACATTCACAGCGGCTCCTTCTTCATGAGTGACAAGTGCCTCTCTGGGCTCTAGGATGGCCTAGAGATGCCAGAGGGCCAGCTGTAGCAGAAAGAGCTGGACCCCATACTTACTCATCATAATCAATTGTCTTGGCATATTACATTGCCTGCAGGAAATGGGGACACTGACCAGAGGTATCACTAGCAGAGAAGGAGGGTGAGCTGGAAGGGAGGCTCCAAATCAGGTTGAGACCATTTTTGCTTTTAAATCCACTAATAACTAGCCCAGTGCCTCACATTGAAGGTCTACAGTCCATGTATTCTAAATATTTTACTCTTCACTCTTTGGTGACTCTTACACTGCAATTGTAAGGATAGACACACCAAAAAAAGACAAATATTCCTAAGGCGATTATACTTCTGGCAGAGAGAAATCACCAGTTACCACATGAATAAATCACAAACACAAACTGTGATACACAATAGAAGAAGGCTCCGGAGTTCAGGGCGCTGGAGTGGATACCTGGTGATCTCGTCTGCTTAGGGAGAGTCATGATCAGGCAGGGCTGAGAGGGCTTGAGATACCAAAAGAGGTTTGGCGAGCCCAGAGCGCAAAGACCGTGGGAAGACAGGCAGCCCGGACTGTGTGGCTTCGTTGCAGCAGCTGACCTCTAGACAAGGGTCGGCAGTCAACCCTGTGCTCAGCTTCCCAACCGCCATGGTTGGTCCCTGTGTCCTTGTTTAGCCTTGAGGATGTTCTACATATTACACCTATATTTCTACACCAGACAAATACACATAGTGCAAAACTTCAGCCCAACTTACTGCTGGGTAGGATGGAGGAGAACACATTTTCTGTGGCTCAGGTCTCTCCAGTCACCAGCCTAATCGACAACTTTACTTACCTGAGGAGGTCAGCAAGAGCTAAGTACTGAGACGTGCTTTAGCATAGCTATAGAAAATAGTCTATAATTTAGATAAAATCCACCAAGGCAAAGCCAATTAGAAGGAAGGCAAAGCATTATTTACGATCGTCCATAAAACAAAACATGCTTTTCGTCTCCTATAGCGAAATCTAGGACCTCGCTTGAAAGTTATGGAAGCAGTTACGCTTGTCTTTATAGCATACACTTACTTCACTGATTTTCAGACTTCATGCAAAGAAAATACAAAAGTCACACTTCTTTCACTTTTGTGTCCCAAAACTATTTGGCACAGTGTGTCTACTTAGCTGTGTAGCAATCACTACACTGAAAACCCTTCCTAATATAACACATTCTTACAAAGGAGAGATTTTTTTACTGAATAAATTATAGACCCAGAAAGTAGTCATAAATAAGTCTGTGCTCTACATTCTGCCAGGAGAGGAAGACATTAAAAGGGATAAGGGGGCCAGGGAGATAGCCCCGGTTCCAAAATAAATAAATAAATAAATAAATAAATAAATAAATAAATAAATAAAATAAAAGGGATAACAGAGAGCGTGACTTGCACATATCAACCTCACGGAAGCATATTTGCCATAATGTGGCTTCAAATATAAATCATTCAGCCAGTCATAAAAAGATAACAAAAGGAAATAAAATTATAAAGCTTCCATAGATCAAATCCTTACTATACATTGGGAACTGTATTAAGAATTGCATGCAAGCTTCACAGTAGCTCATCCAAAATGCTATTATTATTTCTCTCTTAGAGATGATACAAATACTGCTTTGGCTAGACACTGTTTATTTAGAACTATACGGTTAATAGTTAATGAAGAGCATATTTTAATCCATGTCTGCTAAACTCAATCTCTAAATAACTAAGGCTCATGACACTCAGTTTTTCTGATGATGTAGGTCATAAGAATCAGAGCAGATTTTAAAAAGAAAAGAGAAATAAAATCTATCTGATGTGTTTCAGGGGCTGATAGAAGTGACATGACCCATAAATGATGAAAAGAGTCATATTTTTTCCATTAGCTGAGCTCTTAAAGGACGCTAGTAAGTAGTGGCTCTGCTCCTGCACAGCTGTATGCGTCGTTTAAATATTCAGTCGAGTGAAATGGAATGCTGTGAGTCTCCTCTTCAAAATGCTGTTTGGTCTCTTGGGTTCTAAAAGTATGATCATTGAGCAAAACTCAGGCTGAATCAATACGTCTCCACTTCCCGGTGATACGCGTGTTTTGCAGTGTGTGTGAGGCAGAGTCAGCTCATAGTCATGGTGCTGAACGATTTGAGAAACCTCCAGGCGCACTGACTTCCTTTGAATTAGGACTTCATAAAGTCTCTGCCATAGGACAGACACCATGCAGGCTGAGAACGGCACCATGAGTAAGAAGACCCAGCTTTCCCATAAACATCCCCCTCAGCACCCTAGACACAGGAGCGTAATGCGTGGCACGTCTGCGTGGCCCCAGGAGTCCGAGAGGCAGCCCTGGTTATTCTGCAGTGCAGCCTGCTTGCAATCCCTCGAGACTGTATCTGTAGGGCCCTAGAGACTGTATCTGTGGGGCCTTCTTGCTCTGAATTTGTAAAGTCCCATTCGCCAGCTTTGGGAAATAGCTTCTTGAAGTTCCTGTTGGTTACTTTAATGCTTACTTTAATCATCTATGTTTTCATGATTGCTCTTTCGTGATTTAAAAGCTTGAACTTGGAATGTATTATTCCTATTTATGAGCTGTGTATGTGCTGGACTTTGTGTACAGCAAGGACTTACTGACCTGCTGTCACCCAAGTGTGCTTTGCGAGGTGTTTTTTCCAGAAATGGAGCCACAGTTACACAGACATTGTCCTGTTCTCAGTGTCTCTTGTTAGCAGCAGCTTGCATTTTGCATGAAAGCTGGCAGGGTTAAGATGCAGACAGAGGTCGTGGACTCAGCACAGCTACCCTGCACAGAGCGATGAAACCCGCAACTCTTCCCTCATTAGCACGTGTCCCCTGCTGAGTTAGCCAGCCAGGGGCAGATGCCGAGCCCCAGAGGTTAATGCTTCCTGCCCACAGGTAGAGTTACAGCTCAATGGATTAAGCCCTCAAAATGTTAGCACTCCAAGCAAGAAATTTTAAGTGGAAAAAAGGTCTGGTAGTACAAAAAGGTTAAAAGAGTTTAACAGGAGTCTGAAACAGACTTGCAATTTTTTTTTTTTTTTTGAGCATTGCATAAAATATTCCAGTACTTGAGAGAGGTTATGACTCCAACAATTCTGCAACCATGTGATTGCCAAGAACTATTAAAATAAATAGCACAAATAGGGCAATTAAATATAGATACTAACAGCTTCAAACCACAAGAGTTGAGGAAATGAAGTTGCTTTGTTTTTCATGTAAAAACACCCAGGTGAATTTATTTGGAATGAGAGCAAATGCTTGTTTTGTAAAGCTACACTGGGAGGAAGACAGATAAGACTAATAAATTATTATTCTTTCTGCCCCCAAGCGAGTCTTGCCCAAAACTGATGTGTTAGTATCAGGCCCTGCTTCTGCTAAATTACCTATGGCCCTGTTAGAAAAGATAGCCTCTGAGGACACAACCAGACAGGCCTCTTGATGTGCTTTCGGAGGAGCATCAAGCTGCCCCTTGACACTGCTTAGGTCTCCTGTGACCCTGTTACTCTTGTCTTCAATAACCATCCTAGTTTTCCACTCCTGCTCTGGATTTTGATGGCACAGGGTAATATGAGATGGCAAAAATCATTTCTTGTAGAAATGCCTTATATGGGAAAAGGACACTAAGTGGAACTGAACTCTCTGGCAGTGATCCAGAGTGAACAGAAAAAGGGGCATCAACATGTGCTCACCTGCAAGGAGAGAGAAAGATCAGACACTGCTGGGGTTAATTCTAGCTGAAGGTGCGTCGGGGCCGGGGAGATGGCTCAGTAGAAGAAGCGCTTCCCTGGCAAGCACAAGGGCCTGAGTTCAATCCCTTGTTCCTCCAAAAGAATAAAAATAAAACCAGTGTGTCCTCAGTGTTTAGTTGCGGACAGGGGAGACACACAGACTCGGAGCCATGAGGGTAACATGTTACCCACCTGCTAACTCCCGCAAGTCAGCTTGCTGGCAAAAGTCGGGAGTAAAGAGCAGTATGTTAGAAAGAGCAGAGATGGCTGAAATGTGGATCAGGCACTGCTCGCCAGAGACAGAGCTGCTTTATTTAATATTTTCAAGAGGTAGTTGTAAAACTAAAAGGGTGATAACCAGAAGAAGTAGAGCCAGGATTCTGGGGGATCCTTTCACACTGTGGCTTCTGTCCTAGACCAGGTGCTCGACATCATGTTCTTTAAAACAATAGTATAATTAATAATCATGATTTTCAATTCATAGAATAATTTATAGGAAGACAACTCAGGCAACTTTCATTAAAGAAAGAATAACAGTTTTGTGCTGAATAATTTCACAATGGCACTGCATAGTAGAATACAGAGGATATAATGGAAAATGGTTGTAAGTGAAAGTTTTATCTATTCTAATTGCTTCTGGGGATGAGGATATGAACTTTTGTAGAAATTCTATAATTATGGTGCTGTAAATTGTCCTTGGAGATTTTTTAGAAAATATTGGGACCATAAAGTAATGCTGCAAAGAGTTTGTGGTTTTCCCACATAATTATCCTGAAGAGGTGTTAGGAAAATATATTATCTCATGTAATATTAAAACTTTTTATCTAATTTAATTTACAGAACTTCTTTCAAATAGTTAGCAACCTCCTCGATGAAGAAAACAAGGAAAAATGGGAAGATGCCCAGCAGGTAAGGTTTGGGTTATTTTTGAATTTGAAATGAAGTTGGCTAAATAAAATGTGAAAACTACTCAGTGATATAATTGATATGAAAGGTTTGCTTCTCAAAACTTATTATTATAATTCATTGATCTTGTATAACACCAATGTAGCAAATTATCTTAGTGGATTAGTTATTATTTTTAGTGCCTTTATTGTCTTTTTGCTGTACCCACTGATATGATTAATGCATTTTTCTAAATTACAGAGGAAATGTGTCATTTCAAGTCGAAAAACAGAATAATCACGTTTTTAAAATGCTATGGAAATTTAGTTCAGCTAAATGCTGTACTTCTTGAGATTTCTACAGGACCCTTGTTAAAAATCCCAAGAGAAACTCAATTTGGATAAAAGAACAAATATTTACTCAGGATCAGAGGAACCATCTAGTTTGTTTTCCTTTTGTAATAATAATCATGTCCTAGGGCCGGGGGGATGGCTCAGTGGAATAAGCACTTCGGTGGCAAGGGCAAGGGCCTGAGTTCAATCCCTGGCTCCACCAAATAAATAAACAAACAAACAAACAAACAAATAAATCCTAGAACTTCGGGAGGAAAACATTCCCTTATTGTTGTTCTTCTAGGAGCTCTAAAACTACCCCAGCATGACACACCTCAATCTGCTACCAATTTTGTGCTTCTGAACATGGCAGGGGGAAAATCACCCCACAGCTCAGACCCCGACCTCCCTTTTCTTTCATACTAGCTTGAGTTGTACCCTTGTCCCTGGGCTTCAGCCCCAGTGCAGCGCCAGTGACACACTGTGAGGAAGTGACGTCATACCTATACTGCCGCAGCAGAGGCAAAGCGCATCTTTCTGATGCTGGAGAACATTGACTATGGATATATTTAGAATATACTGTGATAGCCTATGTAGAGGGAGGCTGCCCTTCACCACATGGTGGCTTTCATGGTGACATCACACCCTGAGTGAATAATGAATGGTGGTGGAACTCATCAATGGGAAAAACAGGAATCCACCGTCTGTCAGTGTGTGATACGAAATTAGCTCCAGTCTTAAGAGTGTTTTAAGACATTTCAACACTAGTGTTCCTTGATGTTGTTCTACAATGACTGTTTGAAATGTAAAACAGACAAACAAATCCTACTGCAAAGTGGTGTCATAGTTATATCCATTGTGGTAAATGCATAGCTAAGCTTGGACTTCTAAAGAAGGTATTCCTCCTGGTCCCCTTTATTGTAGGAATATTAGCTTTAAACAAAAGAAAAATGAGGAGTTCAGTGTGCATCTGGAAAAATAGCTGATTAAAACGAGTCAATGATGTCACTAGATTTTGTAAACCATGTTTACACTTTTGAACAATCAACACAGCCATTACACGACTCCTTAGTTACCAGTTGTGGGGGATAAAAATATGCTTGACAAAGCAGCCTGCTAAAGCTGTAGCACACCAAGATGGGAGAGAAACCACATTTTATATAGCGCTGTTTTACACACACTGCTCAGAGTCAGCAAGATAAGCCATTCCAGCCTCGGGTCTTGGCTCTGTTTCATCCTAATACTGAAAATTCCCCAGCACTCACATAGGGGTGGGGCAGCAGCCAGCCATGTGAGTCCAGCCTTAAGCCTGTTTGTAAATAATATTTCAGAAACTGCTCCACCTGTTTGTGTGCAGTGTCTGGGCTAGTTTGGGTGCCAGGAAGACAGCGTTGGCTTGTCCTAGGAGAGATCTGGATGGCCCCTAAAACTCTAAGATATTTATTGTGAGGCCCTTTACAGAAAGATTGCCAAGCCCTGCTCTGCAGCATTTGGCTGCTAGTGGGAAAAATATAATTAAAAAGCATCCTTGCTGTTAACCTCAGACACCTTTCTATGAAGGCAGAAGAGAAAGAGAAGGATCATTACTGAGTAAGCACTAAGCCAGAATGTGATGTACAGAATGGGCAGGCCAGGAAGCCAGAAAGCAGCCCTGCAAAATACACACTTGTTTAATCAGGCCCAGCATTGTGTTCCTGTTCTCAAGATAAACAATAACTAGTCCTAGAATAAAGAGTTTAACAGCACATGTCACCTGTACAGCACTATAAATTATTTTGGTGAAGGGGGCATGGGGCTCTTGTCAGTCAATTGGCTTTTTACAGAGAAAAGTTTTTCAAATCTTCGTGACTGCTGGCAGTTTGATAATCTCAGGCCAGTAGCCACTGATGGCTATCTCCTATCCTCCACAGAAATTGAGGGGTTACATTATCTTCTTTGATTTTTAAATTTCAAAGATAAACATTACTGAATCTTTAACCAAATAGGAAGCTTTTTAGTTTTTAGTTTTTTGTTTTTTGGTTTTTTTTTTAATTGCATTACTAGACTGTAATTCTAGCACCCCAGAAGGCTAACACAGTAGGATTCCAAGTGTAAACCCACCCTGGGCAGTTGAGCAATTTAGGGAAATCTCAAGATACCAAGTAAGATTAGAAAAAGCCCTAGAGATATAGCCCAATATGGAAGCACTGGGGATTTTTTCCTTAATCCCCTCTATGGAAAAAAAATCTATACATTTCAAAGAAACTGAACAAGACCTTAACAATTTCTTGTTTTCTAAAATACATGTTCTATGAGAAGGGAGAGTGGAGGGGCAGTAGCCTATTCCCAACAGGAAAAATTAAGCTTATTTTTATTTTGTATTTTTACATGACACATACTTGAATGTACATTACCTACTCAGTAACAAGGAAAAACAGTTATAGCAGGAATTGTAGGTCCAACAGAAGCTTTGCACATGTTTTTAGAGGAAGGTGGACATTCAGAATTGCTATTTAATGATTGAAAACATGAAATCAAATAGGATCTATCCTTCCAATACTTTAAAAAGTTTAAAGCTTGCAATTACCTGTGCAAATGCTTCAAAGTGTAAAATCTATTGTTCCTGACTTCATGCGCATATAACTGAATATCTTGTACTGCAGATTCGTGGTGCTTATTACTTTGTACACAACCACAAGTCCCGGCAGAGTACACACAATGCCAGCAACCCGCCCAGAATTCCTCTTCTAGTCCCTTCCAGCTCTCGGGCAGGCTTTCTTACTAATCAGCTTGTCTCTGCTCCTCTGCAGTTGCCTTCGCAAATGCAAAGCAGCTGGAAAGCTGTCACCCACTTAAGATTTTATGAGTAAAGCTGCAGCAGGGCTGAATGGCCACAGAAATGAACCTGACTTAAGGGATTTCCTGCTCTAATGTGGCTACATAATGTAGGCTGGTGTTAGGACCTGGATGGATGACGTGTGTTAAAATGCATCTGGCCTTTTAAATGGCCTTAAGGGTCCACATACTGTGAGCTATTGCCAGTGCGAGGTTGTCTTTAAGAAAACCCACATCTACCTGCACCGATGGCCCTGTCGTGATGGTGAGATATGCAGGAGCGATATGGAGGCTGACATGTCAGCCAGCCCTTAAGTAGGCAGCAAGCTCCGCAGATAAGATGGATATAGGTTCAGATATCAGTGGCCGCAAGTCTCTGGCATGCGTGCCGCAGGAGGCTGTTTGCGTTATTTACTCTAAAAGGTTTTCCATCACTGTGTTAGGTGACAGAGTGGCCATCTACTGCCTCTGCCACTGGCTAAGATACAATACGGCTTTTGACACATCGTTTAACTTCCTTGAACTTTTCTGCTTTTTTCTGGGTAAAATAAGTGCAATGATCTTGTTGGGTGTGTTGTGTGCTTACATGTAAATTACTTAAGGAGAGCTACTATAATCTTATAATTATTGCTTATTTTTCCATTGACTAATATTCAAAATAAAAGTTTCTCTCAGGATATTTATTATGCAATGGATGTGCAGTCTTGTAAACTTCTTCATGATAGCAACAATGATTGCCCTTTTGTCCCTCTGTCCCCTCATATGGCCACTAAGCCAAAAATGTTTGTGGTCCAATTACGATGCTGATTCTGTTATAATTAAGTAAGCAAAAGTGTCCGTCAAAAGGAACACCATGCTATTTCTGAGTACACAATCTGTCAGATATTTTGAGGCTCCCTACATTTAGGGAGGATTAATTAGCACATTGTAACACTTCCAAAGTCCTTGCCTTCAGAAACCTGGTTCCTTTCTCAACTAGTAATTCAAGAATTATGACTGTTGCCAGCGGCAGACATTTCTTCAAACAAAACAACTCATCCCTTCATGTGTCTTCATTCCAGTTCTGTGTTCCATTGCATGGACTTCTTATTCTGCCTAACCTCTGTTTGTCTTTCTAGATTTATCCGGGCTCAATAGAGTTGATGCAAGTAATTGAAGATTTTATACACATTGTTGGTATGGGGATGATGGACTTTCAGAATTCATACTTAATGACTGGAAATGTAGGTAAGAAGTAGGATGATTTTTCCCAAAATCTTTTCAAACTTTAAAGAAGTTGCAAGTATCTGTGTTATACGCATTCAAGTGTAATATCCTTAATTATATCTCTCAGTATATGTAAATAAATACATTATGGATACTAGGTCTATGATCTTTAGAAGGGCCCAGGCCTATGTGCATTATATATGTATGTATGCACTTTTATGCATGTGCATATCTACATGCATGCATAAATGCACACACATATGCATACATGGATACACACATGCATACATTTGCTACCAGCTGCATGCATTTGATGAGTACCTGTAGGCCTATGTATATGTGTCTGTATGTATCTGTATATCTGTCTGTCTATGTTTGTATAGAGGACATGCATATCCTTTTTGATTTGTCAAAGGCTCTGTGTGTGTGTGTGTGTGTGTGTGTGTTTGTAAGAGAGAGAGACAGACAGACAGAGACAGAAAGAGACAGAAACAGAGAGAGAGTTGGGACAAATTAACCTTCCTTTTGTTCCATTTGCTGTTCAAAGGACGCTGAGTTACTTTCTCTCTAGGGGTGAACTTACACAGACAAGCAGACCCTAACACACTTTCAAATTATCACAATTATATTGAGCTAATGACAATTATATTAATCAAATAGAATGTTTATCTTTGTTATTAAAAGTTGTCAGCAGTGCAGTCCATTATATGTTCATAATTTTCTTGTTTATGTAAAACTTCCTTTCAGAATGTTACTGTGATTCAGAGAGATAGTCCTTCATTTACTTTAGTAGCATTTAGTAGTATTTCCAAGGCCTTGGAACTCTACATAATAGTGCATTTATAGGAATAGATTTATGCCACATTCTTATCCACAGATGCATAAGCTTTGGTTACTGAGTCAGGAGGCCCCCTACCTTCATTAATCCCTTTTGATGGTTCATCTGGTACAGAAAATACTTTTTGGTGTGTGATTCATGATTTGGGTGGTTCATTTTACCTTGATTTTTTTTCTAAGTCTCTGACTCCTACAGGAAACCATTTGATAATAGGGTGTCTTCCATCAGAATCATCGCGGATTGTTTGTTCGTTTTTGTCTTTTTGAGACAGTGTTTGCTATGCAGTTCAGGCTTGCTTTGAGTTCACTTTGGAGCCCAGGCTGGTCTTGAACTTGCCACCATCGATTGCTAATTTTCATATTCTTCCGTTGAGAGAATTTTGTATGAGACATAAATGGGAAAAAAAAATAGAAAACTACATATCTGAAAAGTCTGGAAATATTTCAGTGTCCACATACCCCCTTATTTCATACCAACCCTCAGCAGTGAGACTAATGCCTTCGTGCACCCACTGAGCCAATCTCAGGACCAAAACTACCCTCCCAATGAGATCTCACCATCTTGTGCTGGTTTAGGACCACTCCAATGGCAATGAGAATAAAAAGACTATGAGATTCTTTGTTGCAGAATTAATTCAGAAACTTGGAAATCAAACTATATGGCCATTGCAGAAGTGACTGGGAAAATGACAGAAACAAAATCTGACAGAAAGGGTTAATATGACAGCTGTGAGTTTTAGGATATGTGGAAGGTGGAACGAACTCAGACTTCAAGAATGCTGGTGATTCAGCTGTACCTTACCCTCCTAAGGGCCCCGTGCATCATTTATGGATGGGAAAGGAATTATGATGGGACCTGCCCCAGTTGGAAAATTGGCATAGTGAGTTCCAATTAAAGCTAAGGGGTGAGAAGCAAGAACTGTTGTTTTCTTTTCTGTAGTTTGTGTTTATTCATAAAAGACATTGCTGATATAAATTACTGTCAGACCAATACCTGGCATTTGTTCAGCATGTGTTTGGAAAATGCTATAAAAGAACTAAAGGCCATCCAAGAGTCTAATGAATTTAAATTTGGACTTACAGTAAGCTGTTTTAGAGTAACAACACATCAAATTATCTATAGTTCTGACCTTATTTCCAACAAAAATCCTATTACTACCCATAAAATAAACCTCTATAATTAACTGTTTGGTCATTTTTACCTTACTCATGACTTACCACTCTATTTTTAAATTTTTGCAATAAGACTTTGTTGCCTAGGTTTCCTTGCTTCCTTTAATATTGCTCTACTTCATGTAGTATATTAAAATAACTTAGAGCAATTCAAAGCTGCAAATAAATCCAGTATTTTATATTGCCTTTGTATCTTCAATAAGGGCAGTGTGATTTACACTGTTTAGTTTTTTGTTTTGGTACCATCATTCAAACTCAGGATCCTGCACTTGCCAGGCAGGTGCCTGTGCCTCTGAGCTATATCTCTACCCCTGTTCACGGTTTGGAATGTAGTAACAACTTTATGTTCTGCGACTGAAAGTTCTAAGCCTTAATATACTGGACCAGTCAAGGGAGATCTTATTTATTATTCCTTATTCCAAATTCGGGCCCACAGGCTGACTTAGCATCATTTGAAGACCAGAAGTACAGGTTGTTTCCACAGTATTTATGAGTTTTCCAAAGTGTGATGGCTATTAATGAGCTGAATAATGTGAGTAATCAGTACTTAGAATCAGTGCACTTCATGTTAGCCAATATGGTTCTGGTATCTAAAATGCTTGCATATACTGCTTTGTCTGATATTTCCAATGTGTTCAAGTAAAGACAGATAATTTTACAGTGGCAAATTGTGAAATGTGAGTTGGCAGGAGCTTTTCTTACATTTGATTTCCAAATACCAATTAACCACCAAGAAGCTAATGATCCAGAGCACGCACCCATGCAAGCGTGCACCCAAGAACACATAATGAACAGCATCTAGGAAATGAAGAAAAGCTGTTTATTTCTTATGGGCATTCTCTTTATTTTTTATTTATTTATTTTTTCTGTATTTTAGGAAAGGGTCTACAGGGTGTTCAGGGTCTCACTAAGAGATCGGACTGGTAGTGATCCTCCTGTGTACAGCTTCCCAAGAGCTGGGATTACAAGTGTGACCCACCACGCCCAGTCTCAATCGCCATCTCAGCATGCCTCAGGGGTGGGGCCGGCATGGCAGGCCTGGGGATCGAACCCTCAGCCCCTGGCCTGCTTGCAGGTCCTTTAATCTGCTGAGCTATTTGGCCAGCCCTGCTTGTGAGCATTCTCTATAAAGTATGTTGGATGAAACTCATTAGGAGCTTCAGTAGACCCTCACAGTCTAATCCCCTTTCTAGAAGTCTCTTAGTCCAGTCAAATTAACAATCAAGACCAACCAGCATGGAGTGCAAATTATTTGTTTATAAAGCCTTTGTGTAAGAAAGAGCCGAACAACTAAAAGATGATGGCAAAACAGCCTTGTCACCTAATGAGGCTCAAAAACTCACTGAAAACCAATTTTATTTGAACTTTACATACAATTTTAACATTTTTGTTTGCTGGTTCCCTGTTTAGACCGAATGTCATAGAAACAGAGACAGTCCTCTTGGTGGGACACGTGTAGGTAATATTACAGATGCAATGCTACAATATTAAGGAAAAAAGAGGATTAAGTGATTCAGCTCTCAAGAGTACATATTTGGAAATAAATGACTGTTCATACTTTACTTTTGAAAACATCAGTCTTAATGTTAGGATAATTTATGTTTAAACCACAGCCTTGGGCCGGCCAAGTAGCTCAGAGGATTAAAGCTCCTGCAAGCAGGCGCAGGCACCAGGGGTTCAATCCCCAGGACTGCGGTGCTGGCCCCATGCTTGGGGGTTCTGAGATGGGGATTGAGACTGGGGGTGGTGACGTGCACCTGTAATCCCAGCTTTTGGGAGGTTTTAAACAGGCAGATCACTATGAGTCTGATCTAGTAGTGAGACCCTGAACACCCTGTAGACCCTTCCCTAAAAGAACAGTCTTAGTTTGTCAAGATAAAAGTTCCTATCATCTTATTAAGATGGAATAAAATGTATAGTGTATGTTAGTTTATTTTCAAAAATAGCTCAAATGAAAACTTCTGAAGCTTCAGTTTTTGGAAAAATGGCTCCATGTGCCTCAGCGTTGGATCATGGAATTCTCTTTATATGTTAGCATATCTTTGTATATTTGCTTTACCTGCATATGTACACTTTTAGGGAGAACATTCATAGTTTTAGTTGTTCAAAGGATTTATGACTTCAAAATATGTAATACAGGTTTGGGAAAAATAGTTCTATAAACAAAAAATATTAAAGCAATGCATATATAAAATACTTGAGCTTCAATAGAATGGTTATTTTTAATATTTACATGTGACTATGCCATTCAAAAATGTAAGTGTGGTAATTATATTTATGAGATAAGGAGTGCATACTAAAGTCTAAACATTAAACAGTTTGTATAACTACTGAAGAAATGATTGCACATGAAAAATTGAAAGGCTACAGAAAGATTTCAATTTTCAGTATTCTTTGTTTTATTGTAAAATCAGACTCTACAGTTCTAAATATACATCCAAATAAGTGCTATAAATATGCACAAATGGTTTGTCTTAGGACAAATTAAATTTTTCGATGTCTAAGTTTAAAGAATTGTTATTACAAATTAGGTCAGGTAAAGAGATTTCCACTACACAATATGAGTTATTTAGAAAGTTGTTTTTCTTTCAGCACAAAGAAGTTCATTCTTCCTCAACAAATTTCTTTAGAGAGTTGCTTGCATTCTGCAGCTAATCGCAGAGCCTCCTCCTCTTTAGCGCCTGGGGAGCCAGTGTTTCTCACACCAGTTTGTCTGAAGTTCCTACTGGAAAACCTTCAGAAAACAGCCAGAAACAAATCAAATCTCCCTACACATACTTTTTGTTCTTCCTGTCCTCTCTATATTGCCATCCACTCTTTTTCTTGAGATAGCCCACTCCCTTAACAATTTTTCTTATTTACTTCACTCTAAAATGCAATTAAACAATGAGAATTAGTTTCATGGCTTGGATATATTTGGATTTTTGGAGGCAATAGCGTAAAGAAAACAAGGCATCCATGAGGCCAAGCACATTATTTGAGACCCTGCTTTCTGCCATTCCAAAGACAGA